GATCTGTCTCCAGACCTGACCATTATGTATGCCAGCAGATACTGTAACCTGGCATGGTGTGGGATGCTCTTTGCCTTGCTTCTTGCACTCACCATGCCAGGGACTGCACTGCAATGAAGGAGTCTCCTAAACTCCTCCATCAGACTGCTCTTCTTCTGATCCAGTTTCCTGCTAATGCTCCTCAAAAGATAGTGAAAGATGACCCAAATAATCAGGCTTCACCACCCAGGTGGGAGATAGAATATATTTATGGCTCCTTGCTTTGGCCTTGTTCAAACTTGGCTGTAGAAGACTTTGGGGAAGCTAAAGGATTCCTTTCTCCCTCTTCCTTTGTTGATATCGCTTTTAAATAAACAAACAAATCTTAAAATGAGACACTGTCTCTTTTAAACAGTTTTACCTTTATTATTGCTTACATTTAGGCGATCTTGTAATTCTGAAGTTAAGATCTAGATGAATCTAATTCTTAATTTCTATCTGTGTTGAAGCTATACAAGAGTTTATTTTTATAGAATTGTCTGAGGAAGTACTTCAAATTCAGTTAAATATTTTCTTCATAGAATTTTATCTTCTTCAACTTCTCAATTACAAATTCCAAACTGGAGACGGCTATGAACTACTCTGTATAATGGAAACACCACAACACTTGATGGTTGAAAAAAAAAAAAAGATGCATTGTAGAGGTTACACACCAACTTAGGGGACCTGATGCTTCCTTTAGTTGGAATAGCCAGGAGGAAAAATGTTGAATTCTCTTTCCTTCAAAATGGTCTTTGATGTTGGGCACAACATCTTAGTGTATTTGCTTTGGTTTATCCAGCACATGCTTATGGGAGTGCCTGTCACATTCCAGACAACAGTCTAAGTATATAACTTGGCACAACTGTTCAGGAACATATAAGTAAGGGGAATTAAAAAGACACTCTTTAGAGGTTAACCCTAAGTTAACGGTTAACAAGAGTCACCTGGAAGAATAAAGGGGTTAACTGGACAGATGGTATGATTAACATGTTACCTTCTCTCTGATTCTTCCATGTGACTCTCTCTTGCTAATCTTTTGCTTTCTAGCACGATTTTGTATAACTATGTTATTTGTTGATATTAACTCTGTGGACTAGCATCAGTGAGTTAAATGTTTGCCTGCATTCACGCCAGTACCAGTTCGAGTGCTGCTGTGCCGCTTCTGATCCAGCATGATTTACCTGGGAAAGGCAGCAGAAGATGCCCCAAGTACTTGGCCCCTGCTCGCCTATGGGATACAGAGATGAAGCTCCTGGCTCTTGACTTCAGCCTCACCCTTCTCTGGCTGTTGTGACCACTTGGGGAATAAACCATGAGTAGCAGATCTCTCTTCCTCTTCCTTTCTCTCTTTCCTTCTGTCTTTCAAATAAGTAAATATCTAATAAAAAACCCTTCACTATGATTTTTTAAGAATCAACTTATGTATTCTTGGCTGGCTCTGAGTGTTCTAGCCAATCTTCTCATTTCTTTATTAGAAAAAGCTTCTGCATAACATACAGCACAAACATGTGACCAGAAAAGCATTCCAAAATGAGGTAATGTGGAAAATTGAGGTGAGCTGCAGGAGGATTTTGGACAATGAAATGACTTGGTGTGAGATAATAATGGTGGATACATGTCTCTATACATCTGTGTGGATCCATAGAATGCACAACACCAGGAATAAACCCTACTGTGACACAGGATGTAATAATGATGTGACTATGAAGCTTCAGTGATTGTAACAAAAGTGCAATTCTGACAGGGGTACTAAGGGGGTCGGGAGAGAGGAATGTGGCAAATATTTGTATTTTCCTCTTATATTCACTATAAACCTAAAACTGTTCTTAAAAGTGAAACATTTGGGGGCCAGGAAAATATGTTACCACAAAAGTCCGGTGGGCTCTTTCTTCAGCTTATTATAGAAATAAAAATCCGGGAATCTGTTGCAGACAGTAAAGTTTATTTGTGAAGGGATCAGGTGAGCAGGGAAAGGAGAGGGAAGGGGAAAAGCACCTCCCAAGAAAGCCAGGAGGTGAGTTTAAAACCCCAAAGATGTTTATTGGGGTTTTAAACCTTCCCTGACCCATCCTTGTTGGGTGGGAACCTATAGGTAAAATTGGTGGTTTCTTAATCAGTTAAGAAATGGGTGGGCAATGCTTGTGCTGCCTATCTGAAGGTGTGGCAGAGACCTCCAGCAGGCCTGGATGGTCTCAGCCAGCATTATTGAGGACTGCCCAACTCTGGACTCTGAGATGCCAGATACCATGTGGGCCTTTGTTCACATCCTAGATACTCCACTCTGATCCAGCTCTGAGCTAATGGTCTGGGGAAGCATCAGAGAATGCGCACAGTGCTTGCTCCACTGCCAGCCACATAGGAGACCTGAATGGAGCTCCTGGCTCCTAGCTTTGGCCTGTCAGACCACCTGGGGAGTGAATCAACAGATAAAAGCTTACACTGTGTATCTCTCTAACTCTGCCTCTTAAATAAATAAATTGTTCAAAAAATATTGAGAAGAATGTTTGCTTCTTCTCTCAACTGTTTACAGTCCCAGTGGTGTTTTTCCCTTTAATGTCAACACGTGAAACCCAGTACCAAAAGCAGAAAGTAATGCCTACAAAACAGTGCTGGTGCTAGGACAAAACAAGTGGGACACTCAACCCAATATACTATCTAAGAAAATAACACAATTTCAAGAAGCAAGGCAAACACTTTGATAAAATAAAAATTACTACAGAAGTTCCATGGTGAACAAAGTAGCAAAATTTAAAAATAAAGACAGGATCTAACCCTGTATTTGTGAACTCTGCCTCATTGACTTCACCCGAGTTTCAGCATCGCTAAAAATCCTAGAAATTACTTCAATGTACATATGGTTTTCATCTTAAGCTTTCCGGGAAATAGGAAATATCTTCACTGAACCTGAAATTCACTCATCTCAATGCAGCAGCACCCTTATTCCTTTTAAATTAGCACCTTTACATGGCTTGCTTCCTTCCTGTCTCCCTGCCTGCCTATTCAAATTTGGTGCTGTAATATCTTCAGAGCTGCTGTAAGCTAATTTACCCAAAGCTTCTCTACTCTCCTGACTTTGATGTAGCAATTCAAACTTCCTGTAGTTTCCGGAATTCATCTGCTTCAGTTCATATCCAGCCCTATGTCACAGAAGATTAAAACTTTTTTCATCTTATCTGGAACATAAAGAGATGGAGCGAAACAGATCGAAATCTTCTGATGGCTCACTTCCAAATGCCCAAACAGCAAGGGCTGGACCAGGCCAGACCAAAGCCATAGCACAGAACTCAATCCATGTCTCCCTCATGGCTGGCAGGAACCCAGGGCTTGAGCAATCCAAGCCATCCTGCTGTCTCTGCAGGATGATATTAGCTGGAATGGAAGCAGAGTATAGGATATGGATGTCCAGCAGGGCAATATAAGCTGTGACACCAAATTCTAGCCCCTGTCAAGATGGATTACAAATTAGCAAATCGTTCAAGGCTAAAGTATTTACCTTGGTTATCTTGGGAGCATTCACTGCAGATTCTTTCAGGTGATTATCTTTCTCCCAGAAACTCATCTTACACAAGAGATTCATTATACAGTCACAACAGAACCCACAGGAACATGGCACACAAATTCCCTGCTGCAAAGCAAAAAGCTATGATTAGTGGCAGATAAAGCTTGCGACTGCAGAGTAGATTAAAAGTATGGCTGTGCAAATACTGTTGAAGAGGTTAAAGGGACGGAGGATTACTGTGGGTGGGAAAGAAGCAGGGAAGAGGAAAGCATGACTGTCTTCTTGAGTTATACATATGGAATGTATGAAATCTGTTATCTTTACATTAATAAATTATTTAAATTATTTAAAAATGTGCTGCTTTTCTTTTGTTTTCACTCTCGGATCTACTCCCTATTTCCTGTATACCTCTTCCAGTCAATTGTTGACATGCTGGACATATTAATGCAACCCTGACAGAGATGAACATGTCCATTAACAGAGGTTGTTGGCTTAAGAATTTGTCACTGGCTTAGCCAAACTTTATAGAATTTCATGGATATCTGAGAGTCTATTGTCCATCAATATTCTTGGCTTTAATCTTGCTTTCGCAGATGGCAGATCTGTGTCACCAACTGAAGACTCTCCTGCTTCTCCCTCTCCCTTCTATCCTTCACTTGCATTTCACTCAATAAACTTCCTGCATGCTTAATCCAACTTGCTGTGTGCTCCTTGAAGAACCTGACATGTGCATGACCTACCCACTTGCCTATTTCTCTATTTTCTTGAAAAGTAGGATTATTATTGTGCTCAACTGTTATTAACATGCTTTATGTGCAATCAGGTCTCAACACACACCAGAATGCTGCTAAACTCAGAGAGCAAGATGGAGAAATAGGTGAAGACATGTTAAAACAGATGGAACAAGAAGGATTAACTGAAGAGAAGCAAAGAAGGTGCCATACTGGGAAATAGGAGAAGACAGGCTGATGACAGAGGGACACCTGGAGACCCAGGGACACTGGGAAGCAGCAGAGACAGTGGAGCAGTAAACAGAGCAGTGATAAGAGTTCCTCTGGCAGTCAGGTGGGAAGGAGAAAAAAACCAGGAATGCAAGAGGGGAATTCAGTCATAGAATTGTGGATCTTGCCAATTTTTAAAAATCTGATCACAAGCAGAAGCAGAGTGGTGCAGCCCTTTCAGACAGGTGTAGGAACGGGGTTGGTTTACCGGCCCAGATGTCAACCAGTGCCACAGCAGGTGCCATTTTGACTTTTGCAGCAAAGCGCCTGGTGAGTGGGGAGGATGTAACAACAGTAAGTGTTGCATGTAGTAAGCCTGGGAGAGCTCACTTCTGGCACAAAGAATTGCACTGGTCCCATTGGGAAAATAACACCAACCTGGCATCCCATAAGTTTCATCTTAAATATGTCAGGATTGTTCTGGCATGGTGGCCCAGGGGCTAAATCTTTGCTTTGCATGAGTTGGGATTCCATATGGGTACAGGTTCTTGACTCAGCATCTCAACTTTCCATCCAGCTCCCTTCTTGTGGCCTGGACCAAAGCCTTTGGACACTTATACCTGCGTGGGAGACCCAGAAGAAACTCCTGGCTCCTGGCTTCAGATTGACTCAGCTCTGGCCATTCCAGCCATTTGGAAAGTGAACCAGTGGATAAAAATTATTTCTCTTTATCTCTCCTTTTCTTTGTAAATTTGCCTTTCCAGGGTTCATATCAACGGCTCAGTGGCTCAGTTGCTAAATCCCTGCATGTTCTGGGATCCCATATGGGTGCCAGTTTGTGTCTCAGTACTCTGCTTCCCATCCAGCTCCCTGATTATGACTTTGGAAAGTAGTAGAGGATGACCTAAAGCCTTGGAACCCTGCACCCACGTGGGAGACCCAGAGGAAGCTCCAGGTTCCAGGCTTTGGGTTGGCTAGTCTCCAGGTGTTATAGCCATTTGGGGGGTGAACCAGTGAATGGAAGATATTTCTCTCTGTATGTCTTCTCTATAAATCTGCCTTTCCAATAAAAATAATTTTTTTACATTTTATTATTATTATTATCATTTTATGATACAGTTCCATAGGCTCCTGAAAAATATATCTTTTTTTAAAAAAGGAAATTCTACCATTTGCAACAAAATAGTCCCAACTAGACACCTTTATACTCAGTGGAATAAGTCAATCCCAAAAGGACAGACATCATATGTTCTCTCTGATATAATATTCATCCAAAATGCAAAACATATATGTATATGTCTATGAATACCACTTCTACTTGCTCCCCTGTAACTTGACATGTGTCAAATGGTCTTCTGAAAACAGTTCTCCCATGGATGACACAGTCTGACTTCATCTCATCCTTCATTTTATTCAGCTGCAGTATTTGGCTCCATTTGCATCTCTTTCTTCTTCAATTTTCAAATCTAGATTCTGATAATATATGCAAAGATTATTAATATTTGTAATTTCTAAAGAGTTTCCTTTATCCTCCACCACTTGCATTGTCATTGTAGGCATTCCCTAAACTTGGCCCTCTTTTCTTTGAATTTGACTTCACACTTTTGCCAATGAGTTCATTGACTTCCTGAGCCTCTGTCATTGACAATTCCCAAATTTAGTTCCTTTCTCTTATTTCTTTTTTGAGCTACAGGTCTCTATTTTCAAATACTGGGTATTTCCACACGTATGTAAATTTGAAGAATGGAGCTTCCCAAGCTTAAAACAAAACATCCTGTACCCATTTGCAACCTCACCCCTACTTCTGGAGGGTTTGCTCTGTCTGTGGCCCTATTTCCTTTGAGTTTCTCAGATTAGGACCTATTTTCCCTTGATCTCTATTCTATCCTAGCCTAACCTAGCCTAGCCTAGCCTAGCCTAGCCTAGCCTATCCTATCCTATCCTATCAATTCTATTTGTCTATGCCTCTTAGAGTCACTATCATCCATTCTGTCTTTCTCTATCAATGTTTGCTCTCTTCAGCTCTGATGGTTATCTGAACTTCTGATTGCTTATGTTTCTAAAGCACCTCCTACAGTGCTACCAGAATTACCCACATGAATCACAGCTCAAGTGACCTTACTGCCCACCTCAGTCATCTGTAGCAGGGCTGCCAAAACCAAAACTGCAATGACTGGCCCATCAAAATAATCCGTGATGGTATTAGTTTATAATGAGTGGATGATGTTTATAATGATGGTATTAGCTTATACAGCAATTCATGCATTTATTGTGACATAATGATAAGAAGGCATGAACTCTTCATAGAGTAACAAATGTAGGACTGATGAAGTTAGAAAATCACTATTTGCCAGCTTTCATAGTAATGATTTCTCCATGTAAGAACCACAAGTGTAGGAAACAATTACTGGGTGCAAATCTAATGAGGAAGAGAACATTGCATATCTCAATGCTACTTCATATAAGAGATTTATTAAGGACAAAGTAAAAAAGTTATGGAAATTATATGGAATATATACTAGATACTACATAATTGGGCATATAGCTATTACATATATCTGGTAGGATGCACCAAGAAAGAGCCAAACATCACCTGCAGCATACCTACCCTAAACACACAGTGTGACTATCACCGGGAAGACATATCAGAATGCACAAACCAGGAAGTATTCTTCAAAATAAATGGCCTGCTCTCTCCGAAACTGTCAAGGTGACCAGACTGGAGAGTGCACAGGAAAGAAAGTTGAACAAAGAAGAACACTAAATGCAAGATGTGCAGCTTTGTTGAATATAAGGACAGAATTTTCTTTCTTTTTCTTTGAACAATATCTGTCGGATCACTGAATTTGAATGTGTGTAGATCAAAATTACTTTCCTGATTTATTGTATTGAAGTTAATTTCCTGATTTTGGTGGTTATCCTGTGGTTATACAAAGGAATGCCCTTGGTTTCAGGAAATACACACTGACCTATGGCATGAAAAATAAGCATCACAACTCTAACTTAAAAGTTGTACAAAACATAATTGTATCTATCTGTATATATAAAAAAACTACCATTGCAAAGGTGAGAAGTTAATGTCTGGGGAATTTGGATGAAGGATATATGGAAATATTTATATCTTTGTTGTCAATCATAAATTACTTCAAATGAAAACTTAAAAGGCAAAACCTGCAGCGGCAGGACATACAACTTACTTTGTACAGGGTTAGGAGGGTTCCATGATCTGGTGCACATTTTAACTAAGGCAGGCTCAACATTTTCTGAATTCCTTCTCCCTACTCTTGATTAATTATTAGCTTGTTAGAGAGTTCTCTGACAGCCTGTTAGACAATCAAGTCAACATAACTCCAAAGGCTTTTATTAGTACTGATAATGATGATGAAATAAGTTGCCTGATTACCATAATGATTAGAGATTATCTAATTATAGCATTTATGTACTGTGCCTTATTTCTTAACAAATGTATTACGAACAGTAACATGTAAGGCATATTATAGTACATGAAGGCCTCAAAGTCTTAGTACTCCAAGTAATATTTGAAAAAGAAGACACATACCATATTTTCTGAATTAACAGAAAGTCAGTTGACAAAGGTCAATTAATTCTTGGTTGATATCATAGCACTGGAATGGGAGCTCCAGGATTAGGTGATTTTTAAAATTGATGTATGTGCTTATATTTGGAGATGAACATGGTTATGTTTCTGATGATTTACTCGAAAAAAAAATGGATACCAAGGCCAACACTGTTAAATTTGGGAAACTACCCGGGTTGATCTCCTTGCTTCCGTATGTTACTCCCCTTTGAGAACATGTGGCTATCTCCTGGGTTACCTGCTTTGGTGTAGAGCAGGTGCATCTTTGAATTTCCAAAACATTCGTACATGGTATGCTAAACAGACAGTGTTAGTAAAAGTTAAAATCTCTTTTTTCCCCCCTGTAGGGACAAGCCACTGATAAGGTGTGATGTCAGGATGATATTTTTGGCCTCCATCCAATAATATACTATTCTGATTGTCCTTAGTCAGAAGAGCACCAAGGGGTGTAATACTGTTGATAAGTATTGCGGCTGAGGTCAGGCTAAGAATAAGTCCCATCATGGCACTGCTGGGAGGGATAAGCTTCCTGCAGGTGACACACTTCAGCTCTGAGGACTTGGGCCAGAGGAGTGGAGCTGTCTGATTAGAGATGAGGGTGAGGTATCTTCAGCAGCTGCACTCAAGAGGCTGCATCTGCAGAGTTTACTCTCACCATGTTTCCATAATTGAAGCTGCTCACAGTTGAAACTGATGCTAAGAAGCTTGGCAACCCCCAAGATGGCTCTGAAGCATAAACACATTGCTCTGTGTGCATACACTTGCAAAGCAGAAATGTCTACTCAGGGAGCCTTAGTCAAGGAATCTGGATTCAAGTTGAAAAACCTGACCCTAAAATCTGTATTTTAAGTATAACACTCTTTCTTTGCTCTGCAACCTAATGAATTAGTAATAGGTATAACAGAGATCCAATTTTATTGTGGAGGTCCTGTAATTCTCGAAGTACAAGTTTCTTGGTAACACTGTGTTAGAATCCCTTGTGTCTAAAGCCAAATGAACTCTTCCTCAGAATCAAAGATCGAAATATTCTAAGAAATAATTGATCTGATGGACTCAGATGCAGGCAGAAAAAAAAGTGCAAACCCAGCTAGGTGTGTTGGTTTGCCTACTTATGGAGGCAGGACACACAAAGTGAGCCTACCTAGCTAAAGTGCAAGTGAGGATAGGAAGAATGCTAAGACAGAATGGGAAAGAGAGAAAGAGGAAGGGAGGAGAAAAGAGAGAAGAAAACAGAGTGGATGAGGAGAAATGGAGAAAATAAAACAGCACTCAAACAGGCTGGATCGCTCAATAAACCTTCCCCTTGACAAGATGGCCCAAAGAACAACAGGTAATTAAAGAATAGAGAAACTCTGCAAGCAAGTCTCCACATCAATACTTTCATACTTCAAGAGAAAAATGGTGGCCAATGCTGAAGAAACTTAAGAAAGGGAAAATAAAGATTTCCTCCTAAATGCTGGAAGAGAAATGATGACTAGGTTATTCGGCTTGTTTCTCAGGAGGTTTTAAATTGGGGAACTGGGGCATTGTTCCAGATTGTGGGGACCCCCACACTCTGAAACCTGGAGAGTTATGTAAGGCTAGTTCTGACATGCGCTATGAAAGAATGAGTAAAATAAGCTGGATTTTGGAGAGACCGGGAACGATGAGGCTGCTGCAATTTGATGGAAGGAAACTCTGAGATTGTATAATATTAATTTAAAAGGTAGAGGATAGAGTGCAGAAAAGACATGGAAGTTGACCAGTTAATAGCTGCTAGTGAAATGAACAAAAAGATTCTTTTAGCCTGAATCAAACCCTATTTCAGGACCCACTGTGATAGCCTACTGGCTAAATCCTCACCTTGCAAGCACTGGGATCCCATATGAGTGCTGGTTCATGTTCTGGCTGTCCCATTTCCCATCCAGCTCCCTGCTTGTGGCCTGGGAAAGCAGTTGAGGATGGCCCAAGGCCTTGAGACCCTGCACTCGCATTGGAGTTCCAGAAAAAGCTCCTGACTCCTGGCTTCAGATCTGTTTCAGCCACTGCAGTCACTTGGGGAGTGAATCAGCACTTAGAAGATCTTCCTCTCTGTCTCTCCTCTCTATAAATCTGCCTTTGTTTATTTATCATGTTTCACAGCTCTATAGGTTCAGGGATTTCCCCATCCCCAATCTTTCTCTCCCTCACTGATCTCCCCTATATTATTACACCAATATAGTACTTCAAGAGTAGTGACAAGTTCATCATCCTGCTATTTAAGAGTATGGTGACTTTGTAGGTATAGACATTGGTAGAAAGTCCAGTATCTTATTGTCAAGCTTTTTCAACAGTTTCATTGTCACCATATTTTATTACCGGTCATCCAGCTACCTTCTGAGGCTTCCCATCTATCTTGTATACTCCCCAGAAGCTGTATCATTTGTTGGCTTACAGGCCCATCCTCAGGAATACCCACGTTTCCTCTTCTGCTCTCAGTGGGTGATGTGTGCTGCACCTGAGTCACTTGAATGTGACTGCCATTACTGCTATCACCAGTTTATCAAAAGAATGCTCTGCTAACATTATGCAATCCTGAAACCATACTGATTTTCATATATTTATATAATATACACACATGTATTGTATATATACTATGAATATTTTATGTTATATATGTATAATAGGTATCTTACACATTACATATTACTGTATATATACTATACTCCTCATGCATTCATTTTCCTGATGTGCCAAAAAACAAAACAAAACAAAACAAAACGAATTCCTATTGCAAGCACCAGGACTGTGGTCTACAGTTTACATAGAATTTTTCCCACTGGTAGCCATAACCAATCCCACCACTACAACTCCCTCTCCTTATGTACAGTCCTCTTATCCCAGGCTTTCCCCAGTTCATGTTGTCCCACCCCATCTGTCTTATCTATAGACAATGTAGTTTCAGTGTAAATGACTTACACTTCCTTTTCCCAATTATATAAAAATATTCTTAGCTCTGGGTGTAGCAGAGATTCTCCAACTACTGCCCAAGCTTGGGGTTAAGAAGCATTAGGTTCTTGTGCCAGGACCTAGTCCTTTCTTTATCTGTTATTGCTCAATGCACCCTTTCATTTCAGAGATCCCTTGATTTCAAAGGCAAGGAGGCAGAGGCAAAGGAATACAAGCTCACTCTTGACCTATGTTCCTAGTGCACTTTGCTCATGTGGTCTTTTCCTGATTCCTACACACACATTTTATTTATTTGTTTGTTTACATCTTTAGTATGTGCTGCCAAAAGAGAGTCTTTCATAACATCACTTAGCAGAGGAACAATTGAAGTTTAAAAGCAGAGAAATAGCACAAAGAATTGCTTGCGGAAGATTAGCTGATGCGATTGAACTAGCTGGATTATAGTGAAAGGGAATGACTGGAGCAGAGCTACTATTTAAAGATTAGTTTAGGTGAGAAGAATAAGACTTGGACTAGATCTTTATCTATCACAATTTCAAGAGAGGAAAAGCTTTGAGATACACTAGAAAGAAATTTGATTTCACCAGTGATGGGTTTTGGATAAGAGAGAATGAAAGGAGTCAAAAATAGCGTAATGATTTGAACATAGATAAATTGTGGAATAATGGCACCAAAGCACTACAAAGCTCATCCTGAGGTGGAAAAGGTGGGGGGCAGTTATTATGGGGGAGTACTGGAGTTTGGTTCAATTTTAACCATTATGATTTCATAACATCAGAAGAGTATACATCTTTTTTCTAGAGGATTTGGCATCTGAAGAAAATTGGGATATAAGGCTGCATATTTTATATAATTTATCAAGGTGACAATTAATGGAATGGCAGGACTTTAAACAGGCGGCCTACCCAGTATTCCTAATTCCTCATTCACAGAATGATAGTTTTGCAAAAATATTTTTAAAATACCATTTGAAATTTGAATGCCTTTTGTAGGTTGTGACCTTTATGATAAATCACAGATCATATAACTTTCTATTACCCTATGCCCGATCTGATTAAAATATTGACCCTAAGCAAGCTAGAAAGTATAATTAAGAGTGAGATCTTACCCCATTTGCTTGCATTAGAATCCCTGTCCAGGTATCTGGCTATGTGACCTCTGACAAATTATTTAACTTTAACGGAAGGTGTTGGGAAAACTGCCAAGCATGGTACATTGCAGTGCTCAACAAGATACTGGTTATTTTCATTGTTAGAGCTTGATAATCTAATATAGGGAAAGACAGAGAAGCCAGGACTAAATCTATATTTCCTACAAATTGACAAGAAGATGGAAAAACCTACTAGCAGAGCCAATGCACCTAACAGAGAATTGGATGGGCAAGAACACAGATAACTTGAGGATATGTGGTATTTGGATATTCAAAAAGTTTATACTGGGCCCCAGCACAATAGCGTAATGGTTAAGGTCTTCACCTTGAACGCGCCAGGATCCCATATGGGTGCTGGGTCTAATCCCAGCAGATCCACTTCCCATCCAGCTCCCTGCTTGTGGCCTGGGAAAGCAGTCGAGGACAGCCCAAAGCTTTGGGTCCCTGCACCCATGTGGGAGACTCAGAAAGAATTTCCTGTCTCCTGGCTTCTGATCAGTGCAGCACCGGCTGTTGCGGCCACTTGGGGAGTGAATCATCGGGCGAAAGATCTTCCTCTCTGTCTCTCCTCCTCTCTGTACATCTGCCTTTCCAATAAAATAAATAAATCTTAAAAAACTAAAAAAAAATTTCAAAAACCAAACAAACAAATCTTAAAAAAAAGTTTATACTGAATGTTATGTATTAAGAGAAAGACTTTTTTTTTCTCTACTTTAGAAGTTTAGTGTTTGGGGACTTGCAGATTAAACAGATAAAATACATGACAAGAGAACTGACAAAATTTCATCACAATACATACAAGAGTCTACAAGAAAATGAAACTCAATGAGAAGGTTAGGAAGTAGGATTTATAACGCTATTTTAAGGAGGAAACGAAAGGGAGAAAAGGGACACTTAAAAACAAATGACCTTTAGGCAAGATAAATGGGCTCTTAGGGAGAGCAAATGGGAGATAGGATGGTTTTGTGATAAAGTCTGCTCATTTCACCAGGGATAGGAGCCCATTTTCCCTGGTCGCAAAAATGTCCTGGAGGAGATATAAGACAATGGATTTCCTTAGGGAGGCTTTGCTTTTAGAAAGGAAGTTCAGGTAAAAAGCCTCTTACCAATGCCTTGAGCTAAAAATTATGGATTCTTTCACCTATGGTTTATTGAAAATTTTCTTAAAATATGAAAAAAATTCTGGAATAATGATAGAAAGGAAAGTGAGATTAAGATCTTCAGCATTTTCAACAGTTTTGAAACAGTTTTCAACAGTTTCAACAGCTTCAATTTGGGAGGATCCCTAAGCTGAACTCTAGAGTTGTTGTAACTTTATGAGTAATTCAGTGGACATGCCTTGCCATAACTTTGCTTTTAGTTGCTGAAATTTCCTATGACTGGAGAGCCAGCAGTAAGCAGAGGGCACTTAATCAGGAAGACAGGTAGATGTAAGATGAGGTATGAAATGCCCAGTAGAAAGTACCTGAATCCCAGACAGCTAAAATGACTCAGTCATTTTGGAAAGTTCCAGGCTCAGGATATTGCACATTGCAAAATGCAAGGAAAGTAGAATGAAGGAATTAGCACAGCTGTCTCAAGAGAAGATTCTAGAATTTCCTTTTTTAAGAAAACATATGAAGGATTCATTTTTAATCCTTTTTATTGCTACCTTGTTTTAATTTCACAGTTTATAGCATACAAGACAATATAAGAGAAGTTTCAAAAAAGCTCATAGAAAATGCATTTTGGAATGCATGCCTACTTTTCATACTATCCATTTTTCATTTTCCGTTTAAAGTACCTTCATATAATGCATAGGCCTCATTTGAAATTTCATGATCTTCTATTGGTTCTGCCTCTGAGTGAAAGTTGCAACATTTTAGTCATGAGAATTTATTTTAAAGATTTATTTATTTTTATTGGAAAGTCAGATTTACACAGAGAAGCAGAGACAGAAAGATCTTATGTCTTCTGGTTCACTCTCCAAGTGGACCCAACAGCCAGAGCTGAGCTGATCCAAATCCGGGAACCTGGAACTTCTTCTGGGTCTGCCACATGAAGGCAGGGTCCCAAGGCTTTGGGCCATCCTCTACTGCTTTCCCAGGCCAGAAATGGGGAGCTGGATGGGAAATGGAGCAATCAGGATACAAATCAGCATCCATATCGATTCCAGCAGCTTCAAGGTGAGGATTTAGCCACTATGCTATTGCGCTGGGCCCATGAAAGTTATTTTTATAAAGGATCACACTTGGTATCCTGCCTCATCTACTGTGGCTTGCAAATAGTTTCCATCCTGATGGTTTGTGTTGTTGACTTCCTTAGCATGCTTCTCTGTGCTCTCCTTCTTCACACTCCTTTTTGTTTCTTACATGATTTCCTCCTTACATTCTTTCCGGCTTTGCTTGCTACAAAGCATAGCTGCTTTATATTCTATCTCCTCTCTCTCTTCCAACTCCTTATTCTTGAGACAGCAGTTCTCTATATTTTCTGGCCTGCCACTTTATTTATAAATTAGATAGCAATCAAGCAACACACACGGTTAACTCTACAGGAGCGGAGGACACAGCTATAAACAAATCAATGTGTGGAGGAGAGAGAAATTTAAATTCTTGACTGGCTTGGGAGGTATCTAGTAAATTATATCTGAAGGACTGAACTCATGCCCTTTAAGAGATGACAAGGGCAGAAGGTTGAGTGCAATATCTTTGCCACAGTCAGCGTTTGGGCACTGAAAAGATCTATTTGGTTTAGTCCTTTTTCCAACTCTGCTGACCTTGGACAGAAGGCTATTTCTCCATGGGCTGCAGGCTTCTGAATCTGGTGATGAGAAGTGGACTCTTGAGAAAACTAACCAAACACATTCACAACATCAGTGACCTCAGCATGGGCCTTTTCCCTTGGGGATAAATTTCTAAGCAGTCCACATTTTTCTCATGGTTTTAGGAAACAAACAGACTCACTCATGTTTATTTCCTGGGTAATATTCCAGCTTCATGGGAAATGGAAAGTAGGAAATACATGATTTTGTTCAACCTGTACTCTTTCAGGGTAGAGAAAAAAAGATTAATTCTTCCCCAAGACTGTCTTACTTTGTAAGATAATAGAGTGATCTTAAACTAATCAAAATACATTGTTATATTACATGTGGTTAAGCATATTTGGTGAATACTTGCGTTCTATTTAAGAAATGTTTTAACTTAAAATTAAACCCCCACTCCTTTGGGAGAGGTTGGAGAGAAAGCATTCTTTCATAGTTAATATCTGAAAACCAGTTCTCTACATTCTCTTTCATTGTATTTTCTGATATCTCATCAAGGTCAAGCTCTGACAGAATAATAGTTTCACATAGTGGGGGGGTGGCATGGCAAAATGAAAAGAGATTAATTAACTCAGTCATGCTTTCAAAGCATTTAGATAGCCAATTTCAATTCATTCAAACCAAAGAACACTAGGTGAAATTTATGACACATGAGTCAACATCCAGAACATGGATAATTGTACGAATAGAAGATTAAGTGGAAAATTAGCAAGACAAGAAAGGGGAGGATGCAAGCATGATACATTCAGATTTTTTTGAGTTACTTTTTCATGCTGTTACAACTCAGCCCAAAGCAGAGACTCACTTTTGTTTGGTTGATTTTCCCCTCCACCTTTATTATTCCTTTAGAAATGTGAGTGGAATTTTAGATGCTTAGACTCTGATGGAACATATGTCCTTACTGCTTCATCTCATCAGTATGAGAACACTTGTCAAGCAATATTTCATGTTTTTCTAAGAAAGACAAGTTTATCTTCTTTACATGGCGGGAAAAACATGATTAGAGGAATGCAAATTGTATGGGTATGGGATCCTAGGCAATCATAGTATATTTGTACTTCCTACCTGGAGTGTGTTGAAATTGGAGTCCATTAAGACAAGCAACTAGGAGTCAGAAATTTTTACATTCACTTGTTCATTCATTCTCCAGTGAACTCATTAGCTGAAATACATGGAAATTTACAAAACAGACTCAATTTGAGTGGCAGGTAAGGCCCATTGCTCCATCTTTAAGGTATTCCTTTTGTCTTGGGCATCATTGTTCTTCAGGACATCTATGTTCAGAAAACCAAGCAGACTACAGTGATTTCTATGGTTATATTTTCCCAAATATTTAATTAGGGAAAATTTCACAGCTTTATGGAGAACATACATGCATCAGTCAACACCTAGATTCCCTTTGGTTGTAATTTAACTCCAAGTTTGATGAGTTATGAGGCAAGATCAGAAAACATATTCTAATATAGGTCCCTCAAAACAGTGAAATGGAGTAGAAATGCCCCAAATTCTCTCTTTAGAACAAAGCAACATAGCTGTAGGTATTGTTGTACGGTACGAGTGAGATCATGCCAGACATGTCTAAGGTTTATTAAGAAGTCTTTATTAACCAAGCTTGGTGATTACAGGGTCCACTAGAAATAGCAAATCACAAGTCTATATGGCAATCCAATCAATCATAACTCCAAGAAGAATAAATGGTTATTACCCTCAAGTCCCTGCATTAAGCTAAAGACTTATGTCCCAGCTTCCTCAACAATATAAGTTTTCCTAAGAGAGATGCAATGACTACTCAGCTATTAAAAAAAACAAAATGCAGTTTTTGTGGCCAAATGGGCCCAACTGGAATCCATTATGCTAAGAGAAATGGACCAATCCCAAAAGCTTAAATACCACATGTTTGCCTTAATTTGAGATGAAAAGATGTCAATCTGGAAAATAGTACCTGTATATTGTAATATTATTGCAATCTCTGACAGCCTGTATCCAATGCAATAAGATAATGCGTTGTAATCTATAAAACAACTAATGCGAGTCAGACTGCTTATGATCTACATCAAAGAACTGTAAAACCTTAAACACTCTTAGTACCCTATGTTAATCCGTAATGGGGAAGGAATGCAGAGAAATCTTCCATCTCCCTAAAAAGTGTGAGGAAGACGTGAAATATAGCCTCTCAGGATCAAATCTGGTAACTCATAGATCTGGTAACTCATAGACAATAGACTCGGGTCGGCACTAGACAATAGTAAAGCTACACAGGCATAAGGGGGGAATCGGGAGCAATCCTGACAGCCTCTTAACAGGAGATTGTGCGTATGGAGCAGGGGGGGAGACCCCAGAGTGGAGCAGGTAGACAGGAAGAGGCTCGTATCCCAACCCTGAAGACTCCCAGATCCTCACCAAGGACCATCAATACGGACACCAAGGACTACATCCCAATTGCCAAGGAGACCACGGGGAATAGGATGCCTTCGGAGGCCGAGAACTCTGAAGTCACCCACCCTGATCTGGAGCTTCCACAGGAGATGGAAGAAGTCCAAACTCTGCTGTGCAGAAACCAGCA